TTGATTACAGACTCATTTATACAGGGTTTGTCTTGTATCATTGTTTAAATATTCACAAATACCAACGGTAAAGTAAAGAATGCACAACTTCTGTATAAACACTTTGAAACTTGACAGAACTTGACTGAAACACCTGAATATTCTTCACAAAATCAAGGTTAACCCTGAGCAAATGATCCCAGTAAATTGGAACTCGAAACTGATATATTTTGGAAATTTTTTTTTTTGTAGAAAAACGTTATGTTTGTAGCTTTTAGAGCTGTTGATAATAGAATGGTATTTGATCTTGTTTTATTAGGACTGGAATTTGTTCATTAGCAAGGGCGAATTTTTGAACTTTGTCAGCCAAGTGGAGTCAAAGTAAGTGTATCAATTTCTCCTTCCTAAAGCTAAAAAAGTGATAATTGAGATTGTATAATACACAATAATTACAAAAAGATATCCCAAAATCTATGGTTTGAAGAAAATGAAGTTAAATAAATTATCATTGATTAAGACCATGCTTTTGATTTAATTTTTGTTTTTGTTTTTGTTTTCTAGGGTGGCCTTGAATAAAGGCTGTGCTCGAGGCTGGTTAACATACTCTGACATGTGCACTTTACTCAACAATAAAGCATTACTGGACTTGCTCCAAGTTATTCGACAACAGTTGCTAACGGTAAATTCAACTTTCTTTTTTAAATCCAGTATTATTTAAATTTGATTGTGGTGGTTCAAGTGTTGTCTATGTTTTCTGACTAAGCATTTTCTTCAATAGAATATATCAAAGTGTCTGACGGCATATTTATTTGGAGTCTCCCTTCTTCTTGGTTCATCTGCCCTTGCCTCTCTAACACACAATTCATCCAAACAAGACACGATATTCCATGGCACTCCAGTCCAACCCTCCTTCAACTGCCTCACTACAGAAGCATCCTGTGTCTTCTCTCGCGAGGGCATTGAGGTTGCCTCACCAGGTTTAGACCTGGTCTTTCGTCCCATCACTCAAAGAAGAAAACGTGTTCCAGGATCATTCCTTCAACGTCAGGGATTCCAAAATATGGCCTCTTCAAGAGAACAGAAAATGGATGCACGAGAAGTAAATCAATCTCCATCAGAAAACCATACTTTTCCTAGATCAATTGATATCAGCGTTCTTTTTAAAACATTAGGGAATTTTACATCTCAGAACCTTAACCTTAAGACAAGACTAGTAACTCATGGCCGCTACTCGAATGGCACAGACAGAGAGTTGTCAGTACAATCTTGGTCATCACTCTGTGTCCACAAAATGAATGTTGGTTTATTCGGACCACAGATTGTCAAAAAAAGGTGTTTTGAGAAATTTCCAAAAAGTTCTGTGTCTTCAACAGAATGGAACTGCTATTACAGGCAGCAATTGTGTGTATCATGATGGCTGAAATACTGTTTCTGACCCCCCCTCCCCTCCATCCCACCCCTACATCCCATCTCCATACCATCTCCATTTAGACTCTATGAAAAACCTTTCAATTTAAAGTATTTTGATAACATATTTTATGATGATGAATAAAGTTTTCCTATCTCACTCAGTCAGATTTTATGTCTTTGTTTTGTTATCGCAGTCTTTGTTGCCGGATATCAAAAGGATAAAAAAATTCCAAATTTCTCATATAGCTGCAAGTGAATTCCCCAACTAAATTCATATCACTAGACCCTTAAAAACATTTTAAACTTTTAAGTCAGAGGCAACTATTTTACAAAAAATGTATAGGCCATGAATTATAACTTGCCAACACATGCGAGTAGAGTTTGTCTAGTACCCTAACTGCAAATGCACCACTGAGCACTGAAATTCCCTTATGGGGTCCTCCCCTATCTTAACCTGAGTATCAGGCCTAGGGGGGTCTAAGACAGCCTGATACTCAGGTTACCCCTATTTTGTCAAGTCTTTTGAGCTCTCATGGTATACTGTCCTCCAGACTTGTTGTCTAATGTGTTTTACTAAAATTGGGCTAGCTCCACTATGACCTGGTCTTGTTCTTGTATCTTGGTCATAGTTTCATGTAAGTTGCATGTTTGTGCTCAGTTTATGTGAGCTTTGCACCCCCTAGGAACCAGTTAGTACAGGGAGGTGGGTGGGTTTTGGGAGTGAAATTTTTAATTTTTACTGGTCCATGCATCTATGAGTTGAATGTCAGTGGCTTACTCCATAAACGTTTTTGTGAAATGGCAGTTTCAAGTAACTCTATCTAGTGCTCATAACTTTGTCTTTCTATCCTTTTTGAAAGTTGGGGTCCACTTTCAACCCATCACCATTCTTAATGATCACATCTCGGGTCAGGATAGAGAATTCCTGTGAGCACAGGGTCGACGGAGCAGTTTTTTGATTGGGGGGGCTCTATAGTGACATTGTATGGCAAGGGGGGGCTGAGTTTAGTGAAAATGTATTAAAATTTCACAAAAAGTCCCCCCGGTTCTGCCGTCCCTGGAGCATATGTTTTGGTTTACTACTCTGCATAACCCATTGGAGCATTAATAAACCTAACTACTCTTCAAGCAGGAAGCCCTAGACAACCTTACAAGTAATTAGTAGTCCATCAAAACTACTTCCAAATCTTCTGTAAAGAAAGTAGGCTACCTTTCCTTTTTCCTTTTCCTTAAATATCGGCTTGATTCAAAACAACTTGCTAGACGTTTTTTATCCAGTCCCGCTTCCTTTTTGTCCATTCAATTTTTACGCATCACAGACTCATAAATTTTCATTGTTACCAACTCGCCGCGCCACAGCTCGTCCTTCGATACCATATTCGATCAAGCGTTAATGGTAGTTGTTAGTAACGGTAGAAAAACCTACAGATCAAGGTCTTTAAAATACCACAATGGAAAAGGAAAACATGCAGAGGTAGTACTAATAACCTATTAACACACTTTTTGCAGAATTTATAAAGCAATTAATTTTGAGAGGAATATTTTTACAAGTTTTAGTCTACGACGACAGTACTGTCAGAGCCGCGAATAGACAACTAAAAACTTGACAATATATCGTAAAATAAGGTTAATGATAAAGTTAATCAGTCTTTTTAACCCAAATCAAGTTAACGAAAAAAACCTTGTGTGTTTGTAGATTGAAAATTATCTATTTTTTTTTTCTTTGTGAATATTTCGAAGCTTTTCTAGGACTTTGTTGACTGAAGTTACTGGTATTGTTTACGTCTGTAAACACCTAAGCTTGATAACCTCAGGCATAAAGCGATTTTTTTCTTTTCGCACATTGACTTATAAAGCACTATGTTATTCAAGCAATAATGGTAACATAAAGATTTCACATTGATTTGTTCTTGAAAAGCAAGGAATTTTGATTAAAACCTTTCGGATCTATCAGACATTGAACTGTTTGTCACTGAGCTGCCTGACTTAAAAGTCACTAAAGGTTTCTTTGATTTGATTTAGCATTCCAGTTTGGTCGCGATACCATCCTGTGATACCCCAGAGATATGTACCCGCCTGGACTCAAGACATGGAAAACAGAACTCTAATCCTTGAGGTGAGAGAGCCCTTCATATTAATAGGGACTGTTCATTTATTATCTGGGAGGCTATGGGTTCAGATAGGATTTGCAAATGGTCTTTGTGTTTGCATAAAAAATGGCATCACCTTTGTTTTTCATTTGCTGTATTGCAAAAGTGGTGTGCTTTCATTGTGTGGCCCCCACTCTTGATCCTGATTTGTTTAATAACCCTCCAATTCCCACTGGTCCCCAATTCCTGGTTAAAAAAATGAAGTCCCTTGTTGCACAGAGATCTGAGCAGCATCACATGGCATAGAGAAAGATTTTTCCATTTTACAAAGTTTATCAGCTTCCATCACATCATTAATATCATTATTAATGCAATAGAATTTTTTCCATTTGCTAGAACACCAACGCGACAAAGTATCCTTGTGGGCCTCATGATACAAGTATCTATTTATGTCGCAGAGGTAAGAGGAGCTATAACCTGAGTTATTGGATGCCTGGTTGGATTTGTTGGATGTGTGGAGTGTTGTGGGTCTAGGCCCTGCATGGAATTAAAAACACTCAGGTCTTCAGATAATGGTGAAGGCTGAGTGCAATTACCTTTACTTGCTATGAAAGAATTTAGGCTTGGGCTAATGGGGGAGTCAAGATGATGTGGTGGTAAAACGCTCGCCTCACCTCTGAGGCCCGGGGTTTGAATCCCAGTCACCCCTAGGTGAGCTGAGTTGGTTGGTTCTCTTTCTGACTCCGAGGGTTTTTCCGGTCCACTTGTTTTTCCTCCCTCCTCTCAAATCAACCCTAACTAATTCAAACTGGTTAGAGCTGTGGTGAGGGGTCATACATGGACTGTATAGTGGCTGCCAGAGGCACCTCCATATGCTTTCATTTCGACCTCATTGAGCTGCGGCACTGCTGTACTGGCGGTGGTGATTAGCAATGACAAGTTTTTTTTTGTTTTTTGTTTTATGCCAAAGAGTCCAAGGAATGAAAGCATTACATGCATAGGTACTCAGAGACTCGCCTTTCATTGTAGTTGTTTCAAGTTCAAATTATTTCTTGTGTCACCTGACTGAAACATTATGAGTTGTTTTTCTTCCTTGCTTTGACGGTTTTTCTCTACACATCCTAGGTTTTCCTCCCTCTGCAAAGAAAAAATAATAAGAAATAAAATAAAAATCAAAACAAAAACAAACAAACAAACAAAAAAACAACAAACAAACAAAACAAAACAAAACAAACAAAACAAACAAACAAACAAAAAACAACACAAAAGTTTTTAAAAATCTTGGCTGTGTTCCTAGACATTAGTTATGTAATGGTGACAGCCTAGCGCATCTCATTACAAGCCTCCATCTTGACCTCTTTAAGTTGCTATATTTTTTTACAATCGGTACAAATTCCAATTTTATTGATTAGCGATTTATTTTAGGTCATCTTATGGACTATGTTTTATTTGCACATTCTGCTGCTACATTGTTGGTGGTATATATTTAATGATAGATTTCTCATTAGCCTCTTTTATCAAAACCACCAACACAGCCATCAAGTCTTAGTCTTTAGAGTCTTTTCGTATGGAATGATTGCAAGCCATATATATCAGTTTTGTTGCAGCTGCTTGTTTCCCTTTATTAAATATATATGTATATTATTAATAGATCATATATTATCATTAATAGAGCGATTGAACAATGTGGAGCCATCAGCTATGGTCAACAGCAAGTCCATAAAGGTCCCACGAGAAAGACTTTTACGACCGTGGTTTCACTCTCCACTTTCAAGATTCCAGAGTAGTTTGATGTTTAGAAAGGCTTAGTTGTGTGTGAGGGACAGTATACATTAGCAAGGAGAGGAATGGTTTGGGGATGGGCCATTGATTTCACTTTCAAGATTCCAGAGTAGTTTGATGTTTAAAAAGGATTAGCAGTTAGTGAAAAAATCAAGACATGCAGTAGCAAAAGGGAGGGGGGAGAGGCTACATTTATTTTAATTAAGTCGAATTTTTTCTGAGTCTTTCAATTTGCAGCTGCATTAGTTGCTTCATATACTGCGAGGATCAACTCAATTTAATACATTACAACCGCATTACAAATATTGATTTCATATATATTCTCTCATAACAACAACAAAACGTTCCAAACCTAACATTTGGTTTACAATTCAGATTCATTGCAAAGCTTCATGGAGATTATGAGCTTATTCAAAGATGTAATTGTGACCAATAAAAACTACTTTAGTGTGTGTTTGCATGATCATGATTTTTGGGATTTTGAAAACCCCAGGACTAAAAATTTTTGGCCAATCCAAAAACAAACTATAGATTTGTTGAATTAAAATTTTATTGACATTCAATTTTTGTTAAAGTAAACCTTCAAAAACAGTCATTAAATAGCAATTCTTTCCCCCCATATTTTGTGTTAGTAACTTGAGTAATTCTTATCTCTACACAAGACAGAGCCTATTTCTATTAACACATTTTAGTTGAACTAGTCCGAGGAATTGAAATACGTCAAAAAAATTCGATTTTGATTTTTTTATTGCGTTTTTTTGAAAGTACTTACAACCATTGTCATAATTAGTTGGCACCGGCTTGACAGATTTCAGTATTTTAGAGGGTACTTCGCAAAACACTACCTAGGGCTAAACCCCCTTCCTCCGTACAATGTTGGGATTCCTGCAAGTTGGCAGAGGGTTGGTGAGTGGTCTGATCAGGGGTACCAACCTTCTTTCAGGGAACGGCAACATTGTACAGGGGGAGGGGTTTAGCACGACAGAGGAAAGCCATTTTCTGTGTTAGCCAAAATGTGCCATCGTGCCAAGTATTTTGGCAATAATTGTAGTTAACAACCAATTTTAGAGGGAAAATATGTTTAAAATCTGACTATGGGATCAAATTGAAATTACGTATTTTGTGCATTAAGTTGGAATAGAAATTCCGTGAACGGGTTATCTCTACAAGTCTACACGGGAAGCCCAATAACATTTAACATCATCTGATTTTTAGCACAAATTTTGATAAAACTATTTAATTGGTAATTTTGTGTGCAGACCTTTTTAGTGTCGGCTCGTTCACTAAAA